TGTGGTGGGGGTGGTTATTTTAATTTTTTTTATAAATATTATACAAGGGTAGAAAGTAATTTTATTAATTAAATTAATCAATTCATTAGTCAAAGGACAATAATGTCAAATGTGATGGGGTGTCTTTGTTAATTTTATCAAACTTGAAGAGGTGCCATTATCTAAAAAATGTTCAACTTGCATATGGTTGTCCTTATAGCAAAGTTGAGGGTGTATCATTGTACTTTACCGTATTATAATATAAGGATATTACTCACTTTTCACACTCAAATTTACTTGTATAAGGATATTACTTACTTTTCACACTCAAATTTACTTAAATGTCATTGGAGAACGGATCTAGAGGATGTCAAAATAATAAATATTGATCGATCTACTATACATGAGAAGTGTAATTTATTGTTAATAAAAAGCCAAAAAAGAAGAAGTATATTTATAAGTATTTATCACTTGCCAAATTAAAATACCTAAAGAGATTTTACTCAATTACAAAGTATAATTAACTTCGTTGACCGTTGACTCTTTTTTTTTCCCGGAATAAAAACAAACTTCATTGAAGAACAGAAACATTACAATCATCATTCAGAGAAGCAAGAAGCCATGGGGGATAGATATCCCAATCAACTTCCCCACTCTGATTTTGAAATGTAAATCTACCTAAACAGTGAGCAACCTTATTACAGGACTTGGACACCAACTCAAAACCCACTTAGGATGAAGCTTAAGAAGATGTTTAATGTCATTACAAACCATGGCAGCAAGACAATCAACTGGAGTCAAAGCAACAATCCCTTTGCAGTCATCTTCAATAATAACATCTTCAGCATAACCAAATTGTAACATGAACTTTAAACCTTCCTGAAACATCACCGCTTCAACCATCTCTGCATTCCCCACATGCTAAGTCACAGTAGTAGCAACCTTTACAACTCTTCCATGAGAGTCTCGCAACACAAAACCCCCACCACAAATCTACCTAAACAGTGAGCAACCTTATTACAGGACCTTGGACACCAACTCAAAACCCACTTAAGATGAAGCTTAAGAAAATGTTTAATGTCATCACAAACCATGGCAGCAAGACAATCAACTAATGTCAAAGCAACAATCCCTTTGTAGTAACCTTCAATAATAACATCTTCAACATAACCCCATTGTAATAGGAACTTTAAACCTTCCTGAAACATCACCGCTTCAGCCATCTCTACATTCCCTACAAGCTGAATCACAGTGGTAACAACTTTTACAACTCTACCATGAGAGTCTCGCAACACAAAACCCCCACCACATAAGGTTTTCCCTGACACAAAGGATGCATCAAAATTTAACTTCAACATTTCACAATTTGGAGCAATCCACTTCTTAACCGGATTAGAAGGGCCATCCAGATTTGAATTTGGCAACTCCATGGCTTTATCTTGAAAAGAAATACCTTGAAACTCATAAAAGTTAAACATAATTTTATCGAAAATTTTAGAAGGTTTCCATCTAACCCTATTAAAACACCAAGAATTTCTAGCCTTCCATAATTGCCAGTAAATAAAAGCCCCCAAACTTAACAAATCAGCATAATTTTCCAGTTGAGACCAAAGACAATTCAATCGGATCCACACTTGCTTCCAAGAAACTTGAACCCCCAAAATTACATTACGCACAATCCACTAAACCTCTAAAAAAAAACAGATTACTCAACATAGGTTGTCTCTCGTGACAACATTGTCACGCGAAAAAATGAATCTTGACCGTTGACTTGAGAATGTTTAACTTTTTCCATTGAATTTAATAATAGTCGGGTACAATGAACATGGGCGCATATTTTAATTTAGAATTCGTAACCAGCATTAAAAAGTCAATGTTAAATTGAATTTTAGGCATTATAGTATTATTCGTTTCCAGAACAATTAGCCCTTCTAGATCTCCTCTCCACATGTCTGTAGTTTTCTTGAATATTATAGTCTTTATTTTTCTAGAATTTGGTAAGAGTGAGATATGACAACGAAATGGAAGATAAAAATATGAGTTTTTTTAAAAAAAGAATTTACTTAAAACTTTAAGAAACTAAATTTGAAGTGTAGTTTTAAATATTAAATATTTATAAATTGAGAGCTGCTTTAATCCTTGTTGAATATTCAATAATAAGTGAAGTCTCTTTCCAAAAAAACTTACTATTTATTAAAAAGTAAGCACTCAATAGAGGTTTTAGACAATACTTTAATAGAGTCTACATCCAACATATTCTTTCTAATTCTGAAAGCACAATTGGTGTATCATCATTAAGTTTTTCACCAATACAATTGCAATTCTTGGATCCCATTAGAAAACACCAATATTGTATAATTTTGTTAGATAATCCTAAACTGCGTTCTTTAAGATTCGGCACGAATTGAATTGATTCGGTCTACATATAAAAGTAGAGGTTCGAACTCGCGACTTTTTTCGAAAAAGTATAAATCGAGTATCAACAGACCCTTTGATAATACGGACATACTTACTCGATGAGAGTTAGGAGTCTACCAACTAGATTACTGGGTAATATTCGAGTCAAACTAACACCGGCTCTTTTTACTAAACCTAAACCCTTTTAACTCTTGTCGTGTTCGTGTCGTGTTATCGTATTGTATCGTAATTTGCCACCCCTAGTTTAGATATAAAAGTAGAGATTCGAACGCATGACTTTTCTTCGAAAAGTATAGGTTGAGTATCCACATACCCTTTGCTAATATGGACATACTTGCTCGATAATCTAGGAGTAGGGACAGATCTATGAAGGGTTCAGTGGGGGCATTTGACAATACTAAAAAATTTTATTATTGCATTTTATACCCTTAAATTTATATTTTTTTATATTTTCACTCATAAAATTTTAAAATTACCGTCACTAAAATTTTGAAAAAATCGCTTTATATAAAATTTTCTTCCCCCATCATATAAATTCTTAGATCTGAGATTCTTCCTCAAAGTCTACCGAGGCTGAGAGTCTACCAACTAAACTAGTAGGTAATGTTTAGTCAAACTAACACCGGCTTTATTTGCAATTAAACACGTCATTGACTCTGGTATATGCTCTTAAACTTTGAGGAAGCAACCAAGAACTTACCATTCAGTCCATTCTGGCTAACTTTCCAAAGGAAGCATTTTCCACCGAAGATTCTAATGCAAGTTCTCGTGTTGCACACCCCATGGTTGGAGTGTGCTTTCCACGCGCTTCTAGAAAAGCGTGGGGAAATTAAATCAGATTTGAAAATTACAGAGATTCTGTTTCCGAATTCAACAACCCAGACTCGCTTTCTTAGGTACGGTAACGACTAACCCACCTCTAATATATATATATATATATATATAGAAGTCTCGTTCTCTGCAATTTCTAGGGTTTTGGTTTTATTGGCGATTCCATTTTTATTTTTTGCTGAAAGGCTTTGGAGCTGAGCATTAGCATTTTAAAATACAGGTTTAGGCGTTTCGTTTCTTTATACGCTTTGCATTTGGAGCTATTGAAACAGGTGCGCCGTCATTGATCTCTCTCTGAAATTTCTTTCTCAAAGATTTGTGGTTTTTGCAAGTAATGTTGCTGAGAAGTGTTGTAGAGCTGCATGTTTCTTGAATGCATTTTGATTCTGGTATGATTTTTTATTTTTTTTGTTTTGTTGGATGTGAGTTTAGGATTAATCGTTGATTCTGTTATTAATGTGAGGTATGATATAATTTTTTTTTCCTTTCCATATCAATCAAAGCCTTTTATCATACGGAGTGGTCAATCTAGAAAATTGATTGTAGTCTTTTGCTGGTTAGGAGTTTATGAAATCTAATTAACTTGAAACAACTTTCCTTTTATTTCTTTTAAGAGAAACTATAACCTTTTCCAGATTATTTATTTATTTATTTATATTATTATTATTATTATTATTTTTTTTTTTTTTTTTTTTTGGTAGACAGGAGAATTATGTTTAGTGAAAACAAACAGCCTTGGAGGGTTTTCCAGATTACATTACCTTTTTTTTTTTTTTTTTTTTTCAGTGGGACTTCCCTCGATTTTATACTTTAGAAGGTATGGAATTAGGCTTACAGCCTTGGTTACCTAGTTAATTATTGTGGAATTTTTTTTTATTTTTTGGTGCTTTTTCCCCAACCACAAGACAGATATTAAAACACTGATTCTAAATTGTCTACCTTAAAGTTGTGTTTGAACATGTTGGTGTTTTCATCTTCAAATTATTGTAATATTTTCTTAATGTTTAATGTTTTTCATGTGTCAGCTGCCAGAAAGTCAATTGTCTGTCTTGAGTCCTAATCAGTCCTCTATTCTAGTATGAGATACTAATAAAAATAAAAGAAAAAAGTTATCTGAATTTTTCATATAAATTACTTTTTTTACAATGATGAAAATGTGCCTATATTTTGGAACTGGGCCAAGTTTGATTTTTATTGTATTATCGTTCATGTTGAGAAGCTATATATACACATATTTTAATATCTATATTGTTTTTTTAAAGAGAAAAAATCTTGGGGAGGAAATGAGTTGAATGGTAATCCTATTCTCAGAAATATGATGTTTCTTCCTGGCTATCACAATGGGTCCTGGGATATCTGAAATTATAGTTTTTTTATTTATTATTATTGTTGTTTTATTGTTTTCGGAATCCTTTTGTGTTGGGTCCATATAGTTAATAACTCAAATGGCTTCTTCTATATGTGTAGGCCCAAACTATGTGGTCACATATGCCATTGTTTCCTCTCCACTTCATGGGATAGGACAACTTCTAATTTTATGCAACTACTGGTTCTCGAAATGTGATTTGAGTATATGTGTTCTGCATTTTTTTCTTTCTTCCTCAATTAGTGATGTGAATGCATGTTCAGGTCATCTTCTATTAGTGGAAGTATTGTCTATCCTATCTTGTCTTTTATCTTTACATGTTTTCGAAATCTTTTACTATATCCCGATAAGTGGGGACATCAGTTCCAACACCCTTGATTAATAGGAACCACACTTCGTAGTAAGCCTCTTTTTGGTTTCCATTCTGTTAGATATGGGATCAAGCGACAAAAACCAAGTGTATTGAAATTCGTGAAAAGTGAAAATATATGCTTTAAATCTTCGAGAGCAGCAACTGATTTAAATCATCTAATGCTTGTTCAGACATTGTAAAACGTTCAAGTATTGTCTTTCTTTGGTGCAGTTTGTTTTGTTTGCAGGCTTATATTGTTTTCAGGCTTATATGTATCTTTGGTTCCTTCAATCATCTTGTTGTATATTTATCTTTATGAGTTTTAGTTAAATGATTATGCATGTGACGTTATAGGTTTCTGTGAAAGCTCTTTCTCTCTCTGCTTTATGACCTATGATTTATTAATTGGTTGGTCTCTATTATGTTCTAGTATAGTGTGGGTAGTATAGTACTAATCTACGACACCAAGCATTATGATGCGGTATCCAAGCTTTTCTCAAATTCCAACTTTGAAGATATTGCTCTGTTCTTTTAAAATCCAGTACTTAGAAGTTTTCTGTGGGATGTAGAAGCTATATAATGGCTTACCACTTCTTTTTCAAATATATTTTTTGCAGATATTGTTCTGTTACCTGATTTAGATAGGCGTTGGCTAGGGAAGCAATGATGTACAAGTAAGACTTTTCAGTCAAGTTCCATTTGACAATTTCTTGATCTTGAATCGTCCATTAGCTCTTCACTTACAACTTCTGATCATTGGTTTTCAGGAGTACTGCACTTGATGGACCGCTTTCCAATTAGTTCTGACCAGAAAACTTTGAAGAGGTGGTTTTTTATTGGCAAGAGAGTTGGCTAAAACTTTTATCTGCAAAACTGAGTTTTTGAAACCAAGTAACCAACTGCTTTGCACTTGTTTGTAACCATCTGTCAACTGTCTCATATTGTTCAACAAATCTGGATCCAATGGACCTGAAATCAAATAGCAGTGCTCCTGTTCTCACCGATTTACCACCCATGAGCAACTTTGGAATGGACATTTATTCTGCTTTGCTGCCATGCCCATCTCAGGGTGCAGTTTTTTCTCCCGGCCTCTTAACAATCCCAAGGAAGAAACTAGGAATACTCGATCAGTCCAGCTCTTGGCTGGATTCCATGAGAAACTCATCACCCACACATAATAAGACTACCAAAGATTCCAGCAATGAACTATCATCATCTCCTACCGATGTTGCATATCGCAATTGGATGGTACTATTTTTTCTTGAATGGTTTTCACATTTGAATGTTATCTTGGGCCAATATTATACATGTTATTTAACATTCTCTTTGATTTATGCAGCTTAATTATCCGTCAGCACTGGCATCTTTTCAGAAATTAACAAATTATGCGAAGGGCAAGAGAATAGCATTGTTTTTGGATTATGACGGGACTCTCTCCCCGATTGTTGACAACCCAGAGGATGCCATTATGTCGAATAATGTGAGAATCTACCTGTTTAAATTTGTTTATCATATAAAAAGAAAAATATATTTTACAGGAACTCTCTTCTTTCCCACATCCCTCTAATTCTTATGGAATTCCGAATAACTTGTTTTCAGATGCGTTCTGCTGTGAGAAATGTGGCAAAATATTTCCCAACAGCAATCATTAGTGGGAGAGGCCGTGATAAGGTACTTTACAGACCTCTATTTAAGTACACAATTGTTTTGGTGCTGCATGACAGCTTCTGTGATAATTCTCAATTTGATTATATTGCCAGTTATGACTCTGGATGGTCTTTGCTTCTGATTGTACATGTTCCATGCCTTCATTCTTTCAGGTCTATGAGTTTGTACGAATAAATGAACTTTATTATGCCGGAAGTCATGGCATGGACATCATGGGCCCTGTTCGGCCTGCTTCTATTGACCATCCAAACTGTATTAAGTCAACTGACAAGCAGGTACAGGCCCATGAAACTATATTCTTCACATTGTATTAACCTGCACTCCCCTTTTCTCTTTCTATGAAATGTTTCTGACGTAATTCGGTTATTTTATTTCTTGTGAACACAGGGTAAGGAAGTTGATTTGTTCCAGCCTGCAAGTGAATTCTTACCGATGATCGATGAGGTATGTTAATAATATCTTGGTGCCATAATAAATAATATGGTGAATCAATTCATGAATTCATATATTCCATTTTGTAAAATAAAAGCATTCTGATCTATTCATGATTGAGCAGGTTTTTAGATCCCTTGTCGAGATTACTAAAGATATTAAAGGAGCAAAAGTTGAGAACAATAAGTTCTGCATCTCGGTACATTACCGTAATGTAGATGAGAAGGTGAGGGTTGTTATTGCATTATAATAATCTGAATAAGTTTTACTGGTTGGATGAATAAGTTGTTCTCAGTGCTGTTTGGCTAACGAAAGGTATTTATAATTTCTGCGTCTCAGTACATTACCATAATGTAGATGAGAAGGTGAGGGTTGTTATTGCATTATAATAATCTGAATAAGTTTTACTGGTTGGATGAATAAGTTGTTCTCAATGCTGTTTGGCTAACGAAAGGTATTTATAATTTCTGATTTTCTTATTTATTTCAGAGTTGGACAACAATTGGGCAAGCCGTACATGAGATTCTAGAAGACTACCCACGTCTGCGATTGACACATGGGCGCAAGGTAAAATTCAAATCCAGCTTGTAGACAGATCCATTTTTTAATAAATATATAACTCTTGCCTTCTTTTGTTTCCCCAACCTCTAATTTCCTTCCTGTACTCTCCATGTTAGGTTTTGGAGGTCCGGCCAGTGCTCAACTGGGATAAGGGGAAAGCTGTTGAGTTTTTACTTGAATCACTTGGTGAGTAGATTATTGGATTACTATATATGATTTCAAACACTTCTCTTTGTTGTTTTTTGAGTTTTGACTCCACCATGGATCAATAATTTTAAAAAATAAAAATTGATGTAGGATTAAGTAATTGTGATGATGTACTGCCAATTTATGTTGGAGATGACCGTACAGACGAAGATGCATTTAAGGTACTGCCTACTAACCCTAATATTGGTATTGCTTTCCAACGAGTCAATATTTTTCATGCAAATCATGTAATGAATCAACTTGATTGACTTACAACAGGTTCTGAGAGAGGGAAACCAAGGTTATGGTATCTTAGTGTCTCCAGTGCCCAAGGAAAGCAATGCATTATTCTCTCTGAAGGACCCATCTGAGGTACAAATTATATTCTTTTATTTAAATCAGGTTCGGTTTTGTTTTTGGATATATATATATATATATATTTGGCAAGAAACTCACGCACCCACTTTGTCCTTAAGAGTGGCAACTTGAACTCTCCACCTTCTACTTTGGAAAGTGAGAAAATATCACTAAGTTAGAGCCCTTGGTAATCGGTGAATGGCGTATGCTGTTCTTAATAACTAAACACCAACTTGTTAGGGTTTGTTTGTTTGTTTGTTTTTTGAACAAAAAACTAGAAACAAACATGTATTTTATTTTTTTTTATTTTTTTTTTGTAACGAGGATACTTCAATCAATGTACGATCGAGATAAAAACTTAGTACAGGTAGATACACACGCACACATATTTATATATACCAATATATAATTGGGATAGGTCTTAGGACATTGTAATGATTTTACTCTCTTTAAGGCAAATAAAGCTTTTGTGCTTGTATTGTTTGTGTTTGTTTGCAATCAACAAAGGAATCATTTGCCAGTTTTGTTATATATATGCAGGTAATGGAGTTCCTCAAGTCCCTTGCAACATGGAAGAAGTCAAGTGCACTATAATATTGATATAAAGATGATATACATATATATACCCACGTTAGAAAGATTGTGATTTGTAATGGTTACATGACATATTGTCTAGCTCTGCTTAGAGCCTTTTTCTTTGTAAATCCTTCTCTTTCTATTTTCCTTGGCTGCACAATTGTGGCCTTCAAATGTGAGTGTATTAATTAATCATTTCTTTTTGGGTTGAGGGATTTCCCTAGGAGGGTATCTTTGGAAATATATTTATTTGTTCATTATTTATTTATTTATTTATTTATTAATCATTTCTTTTTCTTTTTCTTTTTTTACTTTTTTTTTTACTTTATTGCAGTTGCACTAAAGTTAATGTTAGAGAACGGTATCTTTGGAAATATATTTATTTGGGGCGCATGAAAATGTAGTTTTCCATCTAAAGTTGAATCAATTATTGGACTTTATAAGCCTTGAATAACTAAGTTTTATCTAATAAAATCCAAAGGTATATTTAATTCCTATGTCAACTGAGAGCTGTCAATTGAGAGCTGTTGAATACTTCGGTTATGGCACTGGACAGTGAGAATCGTTGGATCGTGAATGTAGTGGTGGACTCCATCACATTCAAGAGGGGTATTCAATAGAATCAATACTTTCTCATCAAAGACTAAACTGAAATGTGAATAGAGGGGCATTCAATAGAATCAATACTTTCTCATCAAAGACTAAACTCATCATTTAGATTCATAATTTGTGAGATGTGATGCATTTTTTTTAAAAAAAGTTAAAGCAATTACGTACACACGTTATCTTCACCTCTTTAGGGGCAGCGACCTCCCCAAAAGGGGGAAGGGGTGATACTGTTGGGCTATTTGGTCCTTTGGTGAGATGTGATGCATTGCTTGTGAAAGAGAGATGTGATTTCTAGGATATAACTCATCTACAATGTTGCAAATACTATTACTCCATCAGTCCCAAAATGCATATTTTGTTTGAAAAATCTAACTTTTTATGATAGTGGAGTTTTAATAATTTTTTATTGTATTGATAGTGCTCCGCAATTAGTGTATTTGTTTAGTTAAAAGGATAGTTTAGTAATGTTATAAAAAAAATAGTACATTCAATTTTGGAATGAAATATGTTTTTTTTGGACATCCCAAAATCAAAAAATGGTAGGAGGGAGGAAGTATTTTATAAGCATTCTTAGTTTCTAATAATGGGTCCGCTAAACAATCTTGGTTTCTAATAATCCGTCGATATAATATAATATAAATATACTAATGCTATAATATACAATATTTACTATTCTTTCTTGGCACTGCACTTCACCACATCTACCCTACACTTTTTTTTTTTTTTTTTCCCTTTAAAGTGAATGACAAAAAAGTTAATAAACTAATTAAGGCATCATCTCTTATTTGGTTATACCCTAACTACCCTTTGTACTATAAATATTCATTTTTTACCTTCTTTACTTACTCTATTTTTTATTTTTTATTTTTTTAAAGAGCCTAAAACCAATTTTAATTCATTAAAAACCTCTCTCGCCACTCTCTATGTGACGGCCCTGGTGGTTTTTCAAGCCAGTGCGCCCTGTGATGAACCGAAGATTGACCCGATAATGGATCCGAATGCGGAAGCGAAAATAGAAAAAAAGACTCTAAGAAGTCAAAGTGACATTCCATGAGGTCGTGGAACTCAATGAGAACTAATGCGGAAGTAAAAGATCGAAAATATGATAAATAAGCCCCTAGGGGCAAAATAGTAATTTTTTAAAAATATGAATTCAGGTGCCACCGAGTACACCACTAGAAAGACAACGAAAAATTAATCAAGATGGACTCAAGAATCACACGATTCGGAGTTTGGACGAAGGAGAAACGGTATGACGAAAAAAAAAGAGCACTTAAGGCTAAAAGGGTAAACTGGTAATTTTTCAGAAAGATCCGGGTGCAACCGAGCACACCGTTGGAAAGACAGTGAAAAATTAGTCAAGTTCAAAAAAAAATTCACTCAATTTGGAGTCCGGACGAAGGAGAATGAGCGAAAACAAGAATCGACGTTACGACGTCGAGACGAGCACCCCACGAGCATCCTGACATGCTAAGGGAAAAAAAAGGCTCAGCCAGAACTAAGAGCCGAAATGAGGTCCGAAACGACTTTTTCTGGAAAAACACAAAAAAGAAGGCCCCCCCTAAAATCGAGTTTTCTACCCGACTATGCAGAAGAAAATGAAAAAAAACTCAATGTAAAATACCTAAAATGCCCCTAGATCAGAAGAGGTCAAGAGGGCCAAAAAGAACTGCTGCAGTAACTGTCCACATCTGAGAGTAGAAACAGGCTATCAAACAAATTTTTCTGGAAAAATACAAAGAAGAAACCCCTCCCAAAATCGAATTTTCTACCCAACTACATGGAATAAAAAGAAAAAAAAAACACAATGTGAAATACCAGAAATGCCCCTAGATCAGAAGAGGTCTAAAGGGCCCAAAAAGATGTTATAGTGACTGTCCACATCTGAGATAAAAAACGGGCTATCAAACGAATTTTTCTAGAAACGAAGAAGAAACCCCACCCGAAATCAAATTTTCTACTCGGCCAAGTGAAAGAAAATGAAAAAAACACACTGTAAAACAGCCAAAATGCCCCTAGATCAGTAAGGGCTTAAAAACTCAAAAAATGTAACTTTGCACCAAGTATGTAATTGATCCTAAATGCATTTCTAGGTTGAAGCGAATGTGCACGCAAGTGTAATAAATGATTCTAAGCGTGTGGGAATGGTCCGCGGCTCCCAAGAAGCCCCGACTCAAAATCCGACCCCCCCGACGGCCAAAAATGATAAAAATGAACAAGAAATGGGAAATTTGAAAACCAAAATTAACAAATGACTTCAAATTACCATTTGACCCTTGGCCACACTTCAAATATGGTTAATGAGATACTATGAAAGAATAAAAATGGAATTCCTACACCCGATGCAAACATGGTGAAGCAATGACTTGTCATTTTTCAATATTTTCATAATATTTCATGAAATCAAGAATTACATAAGATGCAATATAAATGTCATTGGCCTCCGGCCTCATCTCACACAAGTCAAATACATCGTAAAATGTGTACTTATGTACACATTATATATATGTAATCAAAGATATAAGTTTAGATATATAAGGTTACAAAATGACATTTTATGCTAACATTTGCATTAAATGGAAACTTAAAAGTTACAAGTCATCCAAAATATGATGAGTATCACAAACCAAGTCTTCATACCTAAAACAAATCCCCAATAACTTCGGGGTGAGTAATATAAAGTTACTCGTAGGAAATGAGCATGCATTGACCTAACATTTTACAAAATTATCACCTTAAGGTGAAACAAGTTAAAGGGACTCATGCCACCTAACGTCTATGTCAAGATGAGATTCAGGGAGCATCTTAAGTTATCTTAGATCATTTCTAACATAAATCATGTCATTCATGCAATTAAACAATATAGAAACATACTATACAACGCAACAAGATATAGGTTCTCAAAAGTATCAACTTGCAATCTAAGATACGAAAACAACTAAAGTGGGTCATGCCACCTAGCGTCTATGTTCCAAATGAGTTTAAGGAATCATCCTAAGCTACATTAGAAAAATAAAACACAAGTTATGATATCGATGCAATTTGACCAACATTGGAACTTCCAATACAGCACATAAAACATGATTTCTCAAAATTAACATCTTGAAACTCAAAATGGGAAATCAATTAAAGAACAACAAGTTACGATATCATCTAGTTATCAACTTGAAATGAAATGCAAAATCAAACAAAGTGGATACTTGGATATCACGTCGGATCAGACCGACACCATAGTTACTTTAGGGTTACTAGCCCATGGGTAACCTCCCTATGTGCGCACTAGACTGTAGAGGGACAATCCCTCGTACTAGAATCATGTCATAACCATAGTCAAACAACGACATCCCTAAGTTTTCAAAATCAACAAGTGGTACAACAACGTATATATCAACATATATGTACAAGATAATCAACTATCTACCATGCACAATCGAATTTGGAAACATATACAATACATGCATTAAGTCCACAACTACTACGGCATGACAAATGTCGAATCTTCAGTGTGCGATTCGTTACACGTTATGACAATATATTTCAACATTGAAAATATAAACTCATGAATCTAATACAAATCCAAAATCATGATTTAAACATATAACCAAAGTCAAACACATAATTAAATCATTAATGCTATAGAAACGGAAATTAAGTAAATAAACTAATTAATTTCTTTAAGTTTCAAATCTCAATCAAATGACCCCTATTTAACAAATGTTAAATAACATTGCATGGTCATTACATACATGTATTCAAAATCTTAATTAGGTCAATAGAACAACAAAGTAGAATTTAAATAAATCATGATAATTAAATCTTTAACTTCTAAAGCAACTTCAAATGGTCCCAAATTAATATATATGCTAGTAAACAAGTCCTAGTCATTTCAAATATCAAGTTTAATACTCAATTAAGCCAATGGAACCCTTAAATCGATTTTAATTAATTCTTTCAATTAAAATCTCTAGATTTTCATACTCATCCAAATGCTCCAAAATTAAAGTATGTTAAAGAGCATGCCAAGACTTAATTTAATAGCCTATCACAAGTTAATTCCATGCAAGGTATTAAACTTTCGCAAAAGAAAATTATTAAATAAAATATGCAAACTTTATTCAAATAATCCCAATTTAATATATATTAACAAACATACCAAAGCCTAATTTACTAGCATGCCACAATTTAATTCTAAGTTGAATATCATCATGAGAATTAAATCTTAAATATAGAAAATAATTAAATTATATTCTAGATTTTGAACAAAAGCAAGCATACAAGTTGTATAAGCATCAATAGAATGCAAGATAACAAAAATAATAACCTATAACACCCCTTACCTCAATTTGAGATGAAAATCTCAAATGCCACCAAAATGAAACCGCTCCGAATCTGAAGAAACTTCGGGATTTTGTCAGGGACAACACGGTGAACGATAAACTCCAAAGAGGACATACCAAAATCCTAACTTGACCTCAAACCCGAACTCAAAAAATGGTCAAAAAGGGATTCTAATAAGGGGGAAAGATGTGCGTAGTCAAAACAAATATAAAACACAAAGGAACTACAACTTTTTAACAAAGGGAAGAGCTCAAAAGAAGATAGAGAAGGTGGCAGCCCCTTAGCTGACATGGAATTCCGCCCAAGAGAGGGAGGAAGAAGGTGAAAAGGTGATTTTTCACTTTAAGG